CCCCGCACAACACGATCTACTCGACCACCACTATGGTTACCGCCAAAAAAAAAACAGAGGTGAAACAAAAACCGGCAACCTGGTTGCCGAGTTCACGAAGTGAATTGGCTTGTTTTACAACGTCGTTGCCAAGCGACGAAAACCCAACCCCGATGGCAAACACCGGGGGGGGCGGCTTGTTTTACAACGTCGTTGCCAAGCGACGAAAAGCCAATCCCGATGGTAAACACCGGGGCGTGCGGGGGGGGTGGGAGAGGGGTGGGTAATCGCGGCAAGGGTCTTCGTTCGCGAGTAGGTTACCTGCAAGGTCTTACAGGTGACGTTTGTGGTAGGTAGCCTTCTTGTGATTTCGAAAGCTGGCTGAACGAGTTACAACACCTCCCGCTGCTGTGAGTGTATTTTGCTCCAGCCGTGGTTCTGAATACGTGTTCCTTTTATATTCCCCGGACACAACATGACATGGCAAGGTTATCACTACCCGGTGAGTATGATGGCATACCATTTGTATCTAGGTGGCTTCGAGCCAAGCCTGTCCGGAAGTTTGGACGAGGACCGTTTTTTTTGGAGGTAGCCGTGGGTGTGACGAGGGAAAATTCGAATTTTGTGTTTGTCCGAAGAGGCACGAGGGTGTGCTGGATAGAGGTACGTCGGAAAGGGTTTTCCACGTGGGGATAACAGCTGTGTCAAAACACCACCACAATTGCCAGCAGAAACAAAACCACTTCCTACTGCTTGTGGGGTACACATCATGATACCCCTGCCCGCCCCCGCCCCCAAATATTAGAAACACGCGACAGTCTGCCACGACGAGATTATCTTCACGTCCAACGAGCATCGTTACCATGTTGGACACCCCCCACCCCATCAACCAACCAATAATCATGCGTTTCTGCATGCAGGAGCCTGAATACTGTGAGCAGATCTCGCCGCAGCTGTTCGAAAGCACGATGCACACGCTCCTCCGGGTGCTTCGGGAGAGCCAGGGGAACTGGGAGGCGCTGAAGCAGAGGGATGTGGCGGCGTACTCGAGGGGGCTGCAGCTGCTCCTCAGCGGCTACGGCAAGGATATTCACGGGGTGCGGGGGCGACGCGAACTGGGGTAGAGGGGGACTAGCGTTGGTTGTTGGGCGCTACATCCCATCACCAAAGGGGGACAGACTAAAGTCGAGACCCGCACTGTTTGGCATTCGTGGCTCCACAAACTGTTATGGCTGCCGTGCTAGTAGTTGTTTGTTCTTACACAGCGACCGATGCTAGCAGATGTTGATGATGACTGATCCAGGTCCAGAACCTCGCGTCATAGCAGTGCTGCTGTTAAAAAGTTGTGAAACCTTGTGATGTAGAGATGTTTTTTTTTTTTTTGCGTGTGTACTCACACGAAAGAACGGGCGTTGCAATGTGTCCGAGTGTGACGCACTCTGTTTTATTCCCCCCACCCACGAGGATGGAAACATTTCGGGGGGTGGGAACTTTGACAACGGTCGTGTGGAGGTAGAATTACCCTTATCGATTTACGCACGGCAATGCGCAACTTTCTGGATTTGTCCTGTTCTGCGTCATGCTTTGATGTGGGTTTGCTCTCCACTTTTCCGCGCCTGACCTGTCCATCCGCTCACTCTTGCCCGCTCGCTATCCAACCCCCCCTGACCCCGCGGCTACTCCGCAGTTCCTGGCCCCCCTGATCGACTTCTTCTCGCAGTGGTGTGAGAGCATGGACAAGGGCTGCGACCGCGGCAGCACGAGCTCTCTCAAGCCGGTCTCCTCGGTTTTCGAGGCCCTCAAGACGCTTCTGCAGCTGTACGGCACGGCGTGCGCGCCCATGCTCCGCTCGGACGGGTCCGGGGTGCTTGACTTCGTGCTCCGGAGGTTCTCTAAGGCACAGGTGTGTTGTTGTCATTGTTGCTGTTTGTTGTTGCCGTTGCCGTTGCCGTTGCTGTTGTTGTTGTTGTTGTTGTTGTTGCCGTTGTTGTTGTTGGTGGTGGTGATGGTATTGTCCCGCTGTATGATACTGGTTGGCCCTTTGTAGTGATCGTCTGGCGCAGATGGAATATTCGAGTTGTGTCATATCTTAATTATTCCGGTTCAAGGGGCTGGCACCCACCGGCGTTATGCCGGGGAGACCACTACTTGTACTGTCGTTGTTGATGTTGATGTTGATGTTGATGTTGATGTTGATGTTGATGTTGATGTCGTTGTTGATGTTGATGTTGATGTTGATGACGGTTGTGGCGGCGATGGTGTTGGTGTTGATGGTGCAAGTTGGTGGTGCAAGTGTGCGCCCTCAACGTCGTGCCAGTACACGCAACAGGTGCGTAACATGGCCTTCCCTCCACAGCACAAAACACTCGCGTGTATATCCACACCAACGACTACCCAAAACGACGCCGATGTCACGACCGCTAATAACACACGACACGCCAGCGCACCCAGCGCGAGTACATCGTGGAGTACCTTCGGCTGCACCTCCGCATCGCTCGGGCAGCGAGAGAGGGCTGCGCGGAGGGCGACAGGGACCCCATCTTCGACGCCGTACCCACGCTCTACAGGTTCGTTTGCTCCTTGTTTGTGTATGTAGCCGGTAGCCGTGACAGGGGGGGGGGCGGGGGGGGGCGCAAGTGCGATCCGTCCCTCGCAGGATAATTAAGGTTGTTCGGGTCGTTTGGGCTGGCTGCGCGTCCCGCCCCTCCTTTGGCGCACAAGCCGTGGAACCTCCTTTAGCGCACAAGCCGTTGAACCTCCTGCGCGGGTAGAAAGACCGAGTTGTCTGAAATTGGTGCATTGAAGAGGCCGCTGTATTGTGAGGACCTGTGGGGAACAACAATGGGATCAATCACGCCAAGGATTCCTTTGAGAAACTGACAAAAAAAACAAGCCAATTCGTCAAAATACGGTCCAGTCGAGAATCGGAGCCCAACCCGAAGCAAAATCATCAACCACAAAAAAACTGAGCTACTTTTAGTAACCGGGACCTGGCACGGAGAACACAACAAATAACGTGAGCCCGCAGACTATCTTGGAAACAGTAGCAGGAATAATACACAGCATCTTATACCGTCGTCGCGAGAATCGGAGCCCAACCCGAAGAAAAACTCAATCACCAAAACCTCAGACCCTAGCAAGCGGGACCTGACACGGAAGAAAAAAAACACAAAACGTGACCCCAGGCTCCTGGTCAACGAGCAAGAGATCGCCGGGGCGGTCGGTTCCGCCGCGCTGCAGCTGCAGCAGCGACGCCGCGGGGGTCCCGGCCTGTGGCTCTCCCTCGAGCGGCGCGGACGCGCGCACCTGCTGCTGTGCGCCGACCTCGTCCGGTGCTACCGGGAAGAGCAAGACGCGCTGGAAGAAGCAGAAGAAGAAGGAGGAGGAGGAGGAGGAGGAGGAGGAGAAGCGGCGACGGGGGGAGGTGGAGGGAGTTCCGCTAGCGAGGCGATGTCCTGCGGCGGGGTGGGTGGCAAGAGGAAGCCCAACCAGCCGGAAGCTCGAGATGTTGGTGGTGGCAGAGGGGGGAGGAAGCGGCCCCGTGCGGTGGACCCCTGGGAGGATATCATGGGGGCGCTTAGCCCGTTTGAGGGGGGGGGTCGTGTGTCTAGCATTCCCGCTGGCGACAGGAGCGGCAGGTGAGCTTGTTTTGTGGCACTCGGAGCGGAGGCTGCACGAAGAGATACGTGTGTAGACGTCACGATGGGTTCAATTGTTTTTTTTTCATTGGTACACGTTCGTGACGAGCACCGTTCTGTTCCGTGTGTAGGCGGAAAGTAGTTTCTCGGAGGAAAACAAAGCAAGGCCTTCGCGACTTACACGTAGCGGGATCTCTTAACGGTAATCCATGGATTATTGGTGTATGTGTTGTCACCGGCATGGGTCGATATCCCCGATAGCTTGCCGTGTTGCCGCGGTACCGGTGTTCACGGCTGTCTTGTCGGGTGTCGGATACGCTTTTCTGGGTTGCTCCCAGCTGCACGGGAGGCACGACGAAGCAAGCGGCAGAGTCGGGATTCGTCTCCCGGCTTGTTGTCGGATTTTTGGCTGTGTCTCGCTTGAAACTTTCCTGGGCCTCAATCAAGACCTCTCTGTCTCTTTCTGTCATGTCTGTCTGTCTCTGTCTGTCTCTGTCTCTGTCTGTCTCTGTCTGTCTCTGTCTGTCTCTATCTCTCTGCCTCTATCTCTCTTTGCCTTTATCTCTCTATGTCTGTCTCTCTTTGTCGCTGTCTAATCTATTGTCTCTTTTTGTCTGGCTGTTTATCTGTCTCTGTCTCTGTCTCTGTCTCTGTCTCTGTCCTGTCTCTGTCTCTGTCTCTCTCTCTCGCTCTCTCTGTCTCTGTCTCTGTCTCTATCTCTGTCTCTGTCTCCCTCTCGTTTGGTCGTCGCTTCTCTGTGTCTCTGTCTCCCTCTCGTTCGGTCGTCGCTTCTCTCTCTTTGTCGATGTGAAGGCGGTCGCCCGCGAACAGCGCGGGCGGCGGGTCTTCCAGGGGCGGCGCCGGCGGCAGCGG